CTCCATAATTTTGTTATTTGTTAATTAATTTTTATATAGAGTTAGTTATATTTATAAGTGTTTTGTGTATGCATATATATATGTGTGTAAGTGTATTGTATTAGTATTTTTTTGTTTTTTTAAATCAAAAATTTATTTAATTATTTTAAATGTTTGTGTTTGCTAAATAATTTATTTTATTTGTTTTTTCTTTTCTTTATTTATAATTTACATAACAATTTCTTGCGGGGGCTATTATTTTTGTTCTCATTTTTTTTCTGTAAAAGTCTTTTTCCCAAAATTGTGTCAGAAGTCCGTCTATCTGTCTGAAGCTAGGGTAAACAAAATTGTGGCAAATGTCAAGGACCTGGACACAAAATCGCATAACATCCAGAGTCTGTTATTTGATTGGTGACCAATTATTCTTCATTTGCAGCAATCTTGTTCCTTTTTTCTGTCCAATGGCATTCGTTATGGCATTTTGTTCTAATTCCATTTCTTTTTTATTAAATATTTTAACAGTAGTAACAGTTTGTTAAATTATAAACAGACTAAGTTTTTTTTTTGAAATAGAACTGAAAACAAAATAAAAAATCCATCTTTTTTGTTTGTATTATTTCTTTAATTACATTTCATTTTAACAAATAATAAAAATTATTATTTATATTTGTCAACGTCGTAGATTTTTTAAGAGATTTTTATTTCACTTTTTTTATTTATTTAAAGATAAGGTTATTTTTTCTTGACTAAAATTTAACAACTTTGAAATTGATTTTCAATATAGACTTTAATAATAATTTGTTTTTTTGTAATAGAATTTGTATTTATTTAGTTTTGTTTCTTCAGTTTATTTATATCGTAATAGAGATATTTAAATGAAAAGCTATTCGTATTTGTTTTTCTTTTCTTTTTTGTTTTATTTATTTTCTGTACATAAGAGGTAAAAACGAAGACCAATATTTTGTGGAGTAGTAACAGAAAAGTCAAGGCAACAAAATATAAAAAGGACCTTATAAAAATGGTCCTAATTTGAGGAATACCCCTCTCAAAAATGTTCGCATAGGTATACGGAAGAAATAAATCAATCCATGCCTTGTTTATAATTACCGTAATAATAATTCCGACAATAAACAGTCTTAAAATGTAGCAGGAATCTGCCTCAAACTGGATCTGGACTAGAATGTAATCACATTTCAACACATGTATACCTTTACTATCACCTACGTGAAATATGTTCATTGACAATATTTTTAAAATGGAGCATGAAATTCAGAACGATACATTTCAATTTTGCAATTTTGAAGCATGAAATCGCAGAATTGTCCCAACTAATTTAGTTTATACAAAAATAATATCGAAAAAATGTGTTGAATTGTGTTACATTTCAAAGTTTTTCCAGTTTTTTAATAGAGTCCACAATGAATAGCCAAAGATTTACTTTAAAACTGAATGGGAAATTATATGACATTAAAAATTTGTCAGATGATCCTTAAATAAGGATACATAATTACAACTTTACCGGTGTAAAGCAATTTAAAGGGATGGGTAATTAACAAACATATATTTTTAGGAATTCTAAACATGAGTCGACTGAGTTCAGATTTGGTGTAAATACGGGGGATATCCCAATCACAAATTATAAATCCCTGAAAAATGTACGCACTTTCCCCTTCTTCCTAGCGTCAACCAAAAATCTATAAGCAGGACAAACAGTCGCAAATATGTGATTTCCTCCCTATAGAGAATACACTACTACACCTTTTTCGAATGTTATTCAAAACGTATCAAATATAAATCGAGAATTCCATTTGTAATTCACAACATATAATTCGCCATTTGAAATTTCCATTTACAATTCATAACATATCAGCTGTATGTAATTCATAGAATTCATTTCCATTCCATTTGGAATTCATATACTTCCATTTAAAAGTCATAAAATTCCATTTGAAATTCAAAGAATTCCATTTGAAATTCATAAGATTCCTTTTGAAATTCAAAGAATTTCATTTGAAATTAGAAGAATTTCATTTGAAATTCAAAGAATTTTATTTGAAATTCAAAGAATTTCATTTGAAATTCAAAGACTTTCATTTGAAATTCAAAGGCTTTCATTTGAAATGCAAAGAATTTCATTCAAAATTCAAGGGATTGCATTTGAAATTCATAACATTTGATTTGAAATACATAGCATTTCATTTCTTAATCATAATATTTAATTTTAAATTCGAAAAATTTCATTGGTATGAATTTGAAAAGAATTGTTACGAATTACAACTGAAATATTATGAATTACAAGTAAAATTTTATGAATTTCAAATTGAGTTCTCTGAATTGTAAATTATGTTCTTTGAAATTCAAATGAAGCTCTACAAATTCCAAATGGTAATAAAGAAAATCTACGAATTAGAAATGGAATGGAATGAATTACAGCTGAAATTAATTATGAATTGCAAATTTAGTTTTCGAATTAAAAAATGAAATTCTCGATTTGTAATTGAAATATTTTGAATAACATATGAAATAGATGTAGAAGTCGAAAAAATATATTGAAGATTGCTTATAAAAATCTATCACGATATACGCATTAATGTGAAGTAAACAGTAACATTCATAATCCTTCTTAGATATGACTCATTATTCTGCATTGGTACTTCGTATTTTGAAATTTTAAACATATATTCCGAAAACGGCTAACATCTGGAATTATCATGTGCTTACTTTGGAATCGTGGTAATTCTGAAAGTAATCTCACACCATTACCTTGTAATGAGTATGAACACGTAGATATTTTTCCCTATATGAGAAAAATTAAGGGCATTGTCGGTATACAGAATAAATTGTTCTTCAACTGATACAACTACTTATTTCTTGATGCCTGGTAATGCTGAAAGTAATCACAAATCATACTTTGTACTTTTATGTATGGACTATAGAGATTGCAAATCTTTTGTTATGAGTTCATGGGTTTACTGGAGCATTTAAAGCAACGATTATAATCGACAATAAAGAGGGAAGAGTTTTCTTTAAATCAATATTTCAAGGGACTTAAATTCTCATTACAGAATTTGTTGTAAGTTTTTGCAATTTTAAAAATAAAAAAAAAAATACTATGCAATCAAATGTACCTGAAATATTGCTTCGTTGAAGATCATTTAAATAGTGTTATAGAACCGCCTAATTTTCCAATTTTTTAGAGAGTCATTAGAGTAATTTTATTATCCATATTAATATTCTTCCTACAATTTGCGAGATAAGAAGCACATTCATACTCTAAGAGTTTAACCGACTACGAATCTTTCACTTTCCCTCTTTCTTTTTAGACAATGACAAGTTCGAAAAACATTTAAAAGAAATCTTTGTGTTAGTTTCTAGAATATGATACTGTTCAATTGAACATTGGTGAGTTTAGTTCCTGTGTTCATATTAGTGAATCTTTCAATTAAACTAATTAGCTTCTGAAAGAAACTCTATTAGGAGTCCTTGAAATCGAAAGAAGTGAAGGAATTTCCTTGAATAGTTCAGGTCATATAAAAAAGAAGTTATAGTTCAGTTTATTTCATGAAACTACTATTGATCCATCCGTCAATGTTCATGTCGTACATATTTCACCACATAGTTCTACGATCGATCAAATACTATGAAGCGTTCATTTTTATTTTTGTTTGTTTTTAATCTCTGAGAAATATGGGCAATGAACATCACCACCATTTATTGTTCTCTATTTATAATCAAATTTGTGATAATTGAATTTAAAGTGAACAAAAATGAACCATGTAGAATAAAACGCTCTACTTAGGAAACCGTTGAATGGAATTTATTTGTTTGTGAAATAAACTCTATTAAGTGTCATTTAAATCGAAATAAGTGAAAGACTTCTCCTGAATAGTTCAGGTCATTTAAAAAATGACATATAGTTCAGCTCATTTGATGGAACTAGTTAATGGTTCACTATTTAGTTCATTGATCAATGGAATGGAAAAGGGAAATAAATGGATGAATAAACTAATATTATATAAATTTATGTTATTAGCTTATTATCAAGTTCTGCATTTTAGTTTAAGAATAATTGAAAATTCGGAAAATAATGTCAGGGGATATACGAATTAATCAGTTTTGGATTTTTTTTTTAGAAATTATTAAAATTAATATTAAACAAATTACCCATCCCTTCGGCTACTGTTATAATTTATATACGATTTCATTATTATGTATGTATATATATGATATTGATTGTATTTTTGTTGTTATATATAATTTGTTTATATGTATATGGTATGGCCTTGCTTTTGTATCATTTTTTGTCTTTGGAAAATTTTAACTATTTTATTTATTTTTTTTTTACTTTTTTCTTTGGTTTTCTTTGTGTTGTTATTTTTCTTTCTTTTCTTTCTATATATATATATATGTATACGGTAGTGAGGGGGGTGTGGTGGTGATTAATGTTGTGTGAGGTTAATAGGAGATTTTGTTGCAATTTAACATAAATTATTTATATATACTTTTGTTGTTGTTTAGTTTGTTTGTTTTTTTTTTTATAAATAAAATCATAAATTTTTGGTTTTAACTACAGTAGACAGTGATAATGATGATTTGTTCGTTTCTTTGTTTGGTTTTCTCCTTTGTTTTTGTCTTATATGATTAGTTGTTGTTGTATTTTATTGATGGCGGCTGAGGCTTGTTTGATGCAAATTTTCCTTTTCCTTTTTGTTGTTGTTGTAGTATTATTTGTTGTTGAAGGCGAAAATGTCACTTTTTTGATATCCTTGAAATAGAAAAGAATGCAAATTTTTAGCAACATTTTTCTAAATCGCAGAATGGCAAATTAATTCTTTTACACTTACAAATATTCACCAACCTTTTTGTTGTTGTTTATTTTATTGGTTATTATTTTTTCAATGAGATCTTCATAATAAAAATGCTTACTTTTTTGTTGTAGTTCATTTGTTTTTTGTTCTTGTTTTGTAGACATTATGCTGGCTGGCATATTTGCAATTTCTTATGGGATTCTTTTCTTTTTTGGTTTTTTAATTTGCATTTTGTTATGTTGCTATGGTTGTTGTTGCATTTTCGAATGATGATATATGACTTGACTGACTGACTGACAGACCGACTGATCGATCGATCGACTAACGATTTCAGCTGCTGGTTATGAGTGATGATGGATTAGTACGTATCCCATTATGTCTTTGCAATTTACTTCATATTCTTCAGAATTTCATCTGTCTCCTCAGGATCTTTGAGGGTATGCCATTGGGCTATGGGTCGTCGTGGTGAAGCCAACATATCGGACCAATGTCTTAGCTCAGTGCCGGTTGCCATGCATCCCAATATACAGCGTCCAATGGGCTCAGAAGTACCGATACGATCGTAATCCACAACAGTAATAACCAGACAGATTTTCTTATGGAACAATGTGGACAGAGCACATGATGACATCGATGATGATGGTGGTGATGATTAGGAGGCGGCGCATAATAGAAAAAAATGCACACACACACACGCCACGAAGGGAAGATAAAAGAAAACATAAACAAAAGTAAATATTAATTATTATTCTTATAAGAAAAAAGTGTTAATTATTATTTTTTGTATTTGTATTAGTTAGTTGTAGAAGTTATGTTATTTTTAAGAGGTTTCATTCATGGAATTCTCTGTGTTGTCGGAGTCGAAAGAAGAAGAAGTTTTATTTGTTAATACTCTGTCAAGAGTGTTGATTATTGACCTGGATGGTTTAAAATTCTCTTTTTTGTTTGATTGGGAAAATAATGTAGAATTATTAACGAGTCGCAGTTGTGTAAAGTTTAGTGAAGGATTTTTTTTGTAGAAGTTACATTTAAAAGGTTAATAACTAATTAATATATTTAATATTTGTATTTTTTGTTTTTGGTTTTGTTTCGTTGGTGTTATACATACTCGGGATCTGGTGCCAAAATGTTATTTAGTTTTATGTTATATATAGAAAACACTTAATAGTTATTATATAATAGTTATGTTTATAAATATTCACATACATATGTACAAAAAACCGAAAAATTTGATGTTAATTTTTTAAATAATAAAAAATGCAAAAAAAATGAATCCACAAAAAAAGAAAACTACAAATTTTTGGAGCACAGATAAAAACAGTCATCTATTGAGAAAACGATAACTAAGTTTTTGTATAGGAATATGCCTTAGGAATCGAAAAAGGCGACTGGCGACCGAATAATCTAAAATTTAACTGTTGCCTTCGACTACATATTTGTAGAGGATCTTCTAAGAATGAGAATATTGTTGAAAACACATCGAAAACCTTGTGAACGTCTCTTACATAGATAGAACATCATCTATCTTTACATTGATTGGATACTCTTTGTTAAAATACTCTTAATGAGGGTGTATAGAAGACCTAAGGTATCGTTTGTAGATTCATAGGATAAAGGTATTTTATGCTTGGAATATATTTTAAGATATCTTCTACCAATATAAATTAATTTTTTATAGAATACTTTTTCGGTGGTCTTTCAAAATTATAAGACCATTCAACAAATCTTCAGGAAGTTTTTATAGACGAACTATTATAAATGGTCTTCTATTTTTATAGGAGTCCTCATAAGTCATCATCAAGACTATAGAAGGAGCTAGCGAGTTTAAAAAATACGATATTTTAAAAGGGCCTCTATAAACAACAATTGGTCTCCTTTCAATATTTAAGAAGGTGAATAGAATATCACTCAACATATTTTCACTCAAATATTTCTACATATAGATAATCCTTCAAGTTGTTTAATTTTATAAATTTGGAGAACCTTTAAGATGTCCTCTACGTACAGAAGACCCTTCAAGACAGTAGCTCTGTATAAAAATGAAGTATTCCAATATCGAAGACCCATTAAGAGGTCATCTAAAGACACAAAAGTTGTTAATTCCATGAGTGACGTTGGGGGTGATAGGTACCAGGCAACGGCTCTGATTGGCTTGAACTTAGCAAAGCCCAAGGTTATCTAGGTTCCTCTTTCATATCAATTGTGGATACTGACCGATGTCACCTGGGGTAGCTACTTTCGCCACCCGTTGAAATAGTGAGGTGATACGTGCCACGAGTTCACCCATAATAACTATAAAAAATGGGTTGAGGCGTCGGGTTAGTTGCCCACACGTCGGGTTAGTTGCCCACACTCCTAGTATGCAAAAAACATAATGTTGACGACCCCCGCAAACGTATAAAGAACCATGATCTGCGAATCTCTACTTGAGACGTGCGCACGCTGTACAGAGCTGCACTCAAGAAGTACAATGTCGACATTACTGCCTTACAGGAAATACGGTGGAAAGGGACAGGCGTAAGTAAATCCCATGATTATGCACTGTATTATAGCCATGAAACGAGACATGAATTTAGCTGCAGATTTATGGTTAACAGGAGAGTATAAGACCTCGTCTGCAGATTCACTTCAGTAGATTAGCGAATTGCTATAATCCTTATAAAAGCGAAGTTCTTCTACATCAGTCTCATTTCCCACCCATGCTCCGACTGAAGACAAAGATGAGCAGACCACTAGCGCCTAGAAACTGCATATGACCGCTGCCATGGCCATGACATTAAAATTCTACAAGAAAGATTTTAATGCAAAAATTGGAAGGGAAAATATTTTTGGCTTTACCATCGGAAAATTAGGCCTTCATGACGAAACATTCGACAATGGCATGAGGTTGAATTACTTCGTAGCTGCAAAAACATTGTAATTAGCAGGAAGGAATTCATCCAGTGTTTTAGACGTTCAATCTATCCGAGGGGCGAATATGAAAGATGAACAAGGAACCCTGGTGACAGATACAGACAGCGTGTAGGAGATTTGGAAGGAGAATTTTGCTAAGCTTCTGGTATCAAATAGTGGCCTTTCAAAAGAAAAATTCTGACAAAAGGTCTACGGAACGATCTGCGTTGACGGTGAATATTGGCGTCGAATGAACTACGAGCTATACCATCTATACACGGACATCGACTTAGTTAGGCGTATCGAGCTGCAGCGACTACGGTGGCTAATCCATGTTGCTCGAATTGATGATGATGCTCCAGTTCAAACAGCATTTAAAAGCGATCCTACTGATGGTACACGCAGAAGGGGAAGGCCACGAATTCGATGGAAAGATCAAAGATGACATGTAATAGCTTGATCTTTCAAATTGGAAAACTGTGCACAAAATCGACGCGCCTGGATTTTTTTTCAAGAGGTCATCTGTAGAGATGTTCTTTGAAGGGATCTTCTTTATCTAAAAGGCCCTTCAAGAAGTCTTCTAATATAAAAACTAGAACTTCTCATATATATATATATAAGTAGGGTTTTCAAGAGGTATTCTATTAATAGTATCATTATATTATTAAAGAGTTTTCCTATAAATAAAACCCATTATAGGGTCTTCTTGTCATTTAAAAATGTTTATGCCCTAGACAACTAAGTTATTAGGGTATGATTTTATAAAAAAAAAATTAAAAATCCAATCCTAATTTGTAGTTGTTTTGATTTTGGATTCATTTGTTTGTTTTTATATATAAATAATTAAATTATAGTAATAATAATCATATATTTAAATAATAAAAAGTTATGTTTTTGTTAAATGAAAAAAATATTCAAAAATTAAAAAAATATGGTAAGCAAAAAATTGGCTACAATATAACAAATGTTTTTTTTTATAAAACAGCCAAGTTTATTTTATTGTTGTTGTCATTGTTGATGAGTGTTGCTTGGCCAAGCAAGCAACAACATACAAACATACGTGAGTCTTATACATACACATAACCATTGGGTTTATTGATCTTTGTGTGTATCATTTAAGATGTGTTCGGTTGGGTTTTTATATTTAAAGAGTGAATGGACGGACCTTTTTGCTAGGAAGTGGGAGTGGCAGTGGGGGGTTACACTAAATATTGCAACTAAGGCAGCTAAGGTTGTGACGGATTTATAGTGAGTTTTTTCTTGTTCTGGGTGATTTCCTTCATTGGAGTTTAAAACATGCAATTGATTTCTTTTTTGTGGGTTTAAGTTTACATTTGTGGTGTGAGTGGGAGGAGTGGTTTTTTTTGTTATGGCTATTAGAACGGCTTGTTTTTAAGAAAAAAAGCGGATCTATTTTGAAGCTGGTGCCTTAGTAGTGGAATGTGGGAGGTGGGTGGTATGTAAATGTTTTTGAATTTTATTTTTCTCTCACATGTTATTGAATGTGTGTAATGTAATGTTGTAATGGTTTAATTTATGTTTTCATAAAGTTTTTTTGCTTTTTTATTTAAATGAACAATTTTCTTTATTTTGGGGGGAGGAGATTTTTTAGATTCTTCTTCTTTTTTTGCATAGCCAATTTTTTGGGAATGGCAAAGAACATTGTTCATTAAATACTGGTAAACGAAAATGTATAATATTCAATCCTAAATTTTTGTTCGCAGGATTAACCAAGGGGGTTTTTGGTGGGGGGCTTTTTTACACTCCTAAATCAGATACTGAGCCTATTTTTTTGGAGGGACCAGGGTCATAGCCATAAAGGCTAGGTTATATTTTTGGGATCTGGATATTTACACCAGATCAGATTTCGTTTATTTCAAGACCGGGGCGAAGGGAACCAGCATTGGAACTGGCATTACTCGTTGTTCTTTTTGTCGTTGTTCAAAGAATAAATGTGATTCATGTTGTTGTTGGTGGTAGTGATGGTGTTCTTAGTTGTTGTTCTTGTTTAGCTGTTGTTCTTGTTTGGTGGCAATTAGATAGTGTTGACGGTGTTTTGCATGTTTTTTTATTTTATTGGCTTGTTTGTTTGTTTTGTATCAAATCAGAAGACAGTGTCAAAACAACGAACCCTGGGGGCGTGTTTTTTTTTGTTTTTAAGACGCTGTTGTGGGTCCAGTTATGGAAAAATGCCCACATATCATTGTTGAGGTCTCGTTAAATTATTTCTGAAGTGTTTTTCTTTGGCAATCAAAAAACGAAACTCCAAAACTAAGGCAACGAGTGTATTTGTTTTTGTTGTTCTTGGTAGTGTTCTACTATTAGCATTTTCAGCTATGAGAAGGGGTTTGAACATTGTCATTGTTTTGTTGTTGTTGTTATTGTTAATAGTGTATGCTCTGTGTGGCATTTGAGAAAAAAGCAACATAATTTTTCTTGTTGTTTTTGTTTTTTACATATTTCTACATAACGTGTAGTGTTTTGCTACTACAAAACAAAAAATTTATTTAAATGCAATTTATTTGCTGCGTTTTTGTTGTTGGTATTTTTGTTGTTATTGGATAGGTCATTTTGTTTTAGGGGGTTGGTGGGAAGGTACTAAACAATTTTTATAGGGATTTTTTTTTTTAATTTTTGAAATTTTGTCTTTACTGCTGTTTGTTTTTTGGTTATATTTTTGTTGGCAAATCATAATTAACCGAAACACACAAATAATTATTATAACGCCATAATTATTGAACACAAAAGAAACGTTTTAAAGCACATCAATTCCAAAAAACTACAATTAATAATTAACGGAATTATTTTTTTAAAGCTCAACACAATTTAAACAAAAATCAAAATCTTATTATTTTTTTAAGTCGCATTTAATTTTTATATTTTTACAGAGCCATTAGACAGTGTTGCAACAATTTGCTATTGGTTTCAAAATTGTATGTTGAAAATATAATATTATGACAATAGTGAAAGTTTTTAGATGAGAAACAGTTTCCTTGGAAACAGTTTTTCCAAGCGGAACTAATATCTTTAAGATTTATGGGTCGATTACGGATAGTTTTGTGGCGTTGCCAGTTGTCAAATTTGAATTATGGATGGCAACTGTTGTCAACTTCAGTTACATAAAATACAATTTTTCGGCAACCATTTATTGCTGGTTGTCGTTTAGTCGTGTTTAGCAATAAGAAAACAAATTTGTATGGAAATCGTGAATACTGTATAATTTTCTGTATTGTAATTCCGAATTCGACCTCTATTCCTACATCTAATATCAAGTTTATTAAAATTTTGAAACACTCACATACTCACTAATTTCCGAAATATCTTTCTTATGTCCATTATGCAGATTCAACGGTAGTCAGAATTCCAATTGCATTACTTAGCAAATACCTACAGCATTTCAGCACTTTTCGAACACATACGTACCCAAGACTACCTTCACTAAATTTTGTATCCGTCAGTGACCCAAATTCCTAAATTCCGTTACCCAAATCCAATTTTTCTAAATTAGTTGGTGCACTATCACTATAACTCAATCCTACACTTCAACCGTAATCTAAATTACATATCTCAGAATTCCAGCTCTATCCATTCATCCAAATTCAAATTATGCCAAATTTAGTACATTTAGTACTTTCTATATTCATATGTAATGCCATGTTCTGACGGGTATTCGAACAACGTAGTTCGCTCTCAGAATTACATACATGAATTAAACCGTTCATACAACACTATTCTTAATTTATGTCATCAGAGTTTTTTATTTCAAACTTTTTGTTTCTTGTTTTACACCCAAGTTGTACCATATTTGCGTGAACCGCCTATGGATCTAAATAGAAAAATTAATTAAATCATTTTCAATTTTACTGAATAAGTTTGAAAATTTAATAAATATTTTCAAACTTTCAAAATTTATTTATTTTCGATAAATGCTCTCAATTGTTAGGGATGGGACTAATTTCTTGGTTATTCAGAGAGTGATTCGAATTGAACAACGTACAAAAGTCGGTGTTCGCTCAGACAATTTTTTATGGGAAACTAAGTAATTACCTCATAATTAAAGGTCGAACAACGAATGAGAGAGCGAACAACGCTCGTCTGTACATGGCATAAGAATTTCTAAAGCTACACTGTAGCAGGAAACTTAATTCCACTAAAGTCCAAATTGTTAAATTACCTCAATCCTGCTTTAAAATAGTAATCGTAAGTTCAAATTTAAGAATTCCAGCTCTATCTGCTGACCAAAATTGAAATTGTACCAGATTCTGTGCTTTTCGCATCCATATTTCAAAACTAAATTAATCCTACAGTCCGACAGTTATCTTAGTTGCAGGAGTATAGTTCTACATATACACTAAAGTTAAAATTGCACCTATACTTCCATATCTCAATTCTACACTCCAACAGCAACCATTATTCCCAATTTTAGGTTTTTAGCTCTCTCCGTTCACCCAAATCCAAATTTTACCAAATCTAGTGCCGTTAAGTACTTTTCGTACACATTAAAATCGAATTTCCAAATCTGACTATATAGCTTAATCCTCAACAATAATCCTTATCACCCAAAATCCAAATTGTACTAAATTTGGTACCATTTAGTATTTTTCGTACCCATAATATGAATTTCTAAGCTATCTCAATCCTGCAATCTAACAGTAATTTGAATTCCAATTTCACGACTCCAGCTATATCTGTTCACATAAGTTTATGTACCATTTAATTTAAATTTAGTATCATTAGGTACTACCTCAATCCTGTAATACAATAGTAATCCTAATTGCTATTCCATATCTACACGCTCAACTAAATGCGAATAATGTCAAATTTGGTTTCATTTGGTATCATGTATTCTATACAAAATTTCTAGCTATTTATGTTCAATATAAATTCAATTAGAACTAATTTTAGTTAATTTTAGTACATTTCGTACACCTTTAGGTCGAATTTCCAAAAAATCATTTGTATCCTTTCTAATTTTCCATCGGTGACCCAAATTTCAGAATTCTTGCTCTTCCCATTTGTCTAATACAAAGGGTGCCATATGTAGTACATTTTAGTACTTTTCGTAACCTTCTAGTTCGAATTTCAAAAAACCTAGGGCTATCTCACGCCTACATACCAACAGCAACCCACACTCAAAATATTAAACTTTTAGCTTCAGCTGTTTCGTCTGGGCGATGCTGTTAGTCTCTCACTTACTTATCACTAAGCTATTTTAAATATTAAGATAAGGGCTATCAAAGCTTTGAGCTTTTATCGGATATCACAGATCTAATCATGAGTTGTTAATCATATTTTTAAAGACTTATCACATCTACATGCCAGATTTGTAAAAATATATTTTTTACGAACTGCAATATTTTAAAGAACTTTTGCGACATTTTACTTCGAGTTTTTAACAATATTTTTAAGGACTAAAGATCTATGTTTCAATATTTAATATTTGTAATTAATACAAATTTAATTTCCGTAAGGAGGAAACATACCAATAATATAGCACATTTAATCACTGTCTATTGCCTTTGTAACATTTAACAATATAACAAAAAATAAATAAAAATTATATATCACAAAAAAATTACACAAAATTTGTATAAAACAAATAATAATAAACCATTGATTTGTTATTGTTTCTATTTTTTTGTTTGGTAAAGCACAACATTTAAACATCAAAACATCAATTTTACTAATTTATCAGTTTTTGGTTTTTGTGTCTGAGTTATTTTTGTAGGGAATTGTTGTTGTTGTTCTTGCATTTTTTTTACACATTCAAGGAATTTGTTGTTTTTTCTTTTGTTTGCGGTCCGTTCCTATACAGTGGAAAACTCCATGTCTGGTGTTTCGTTGGATTGGTGGAAAATAATACCAAAATATGAACACTGTGTGTGTTGGAGGGGGACTCGGGGGGTTGACAGAAACAATTGAACATTTCAATTCAACAAAATAAATGTGGTTAAAGAACATTCCATTTGGATATCAAAGACAGAAGTATATTTAGAGAGAGATAGAGAGGGGGAGACAGACAGACAGAGAGAGAGAGAAACAGATCGTGACACAATAGCAGTGAGTTGAGACAGAGCTTTGTATAGATATATATTTGTATGTATATTTAACATAGGCCTATTTTGGGGGGATCAAGGGGGGATAAGTTAGTCTTTTCTTTCTTTTGTTGTTGTTTTTAGGTGGGGGGTTTTGGTTAGGTGGTTGTGGGTAGTTTTTTTTTTTAATTTTTGATTGGTTGTAGTTGTTGTTTTTTTTGTTATTATAGGATAGTATAATACATTCTCGCATACTTGTATTTGTTCAAATGGTACTTCAAATGAGAACGACTCATTATAATAGGGGTTGAGGGTGCATTTTTTGATACTTGTCTTCTTCTTTTTCAAACGTTTTCCATTTTGCATAATGGCAATTTTCACATATGGATCTATAAAAGAAAAACAGAAATAAATAAAGAAAGAAAGAGAAAATAATAAAATATTCCATATTTGTTGTTGTTTTTGTTTTTTTCTTGCAATTTTTTTGCTTTGTTTTAGTTTTGGCCAAAGAACACATAATTTTTTGTTTTTGTTAATCATCGTTATACATTTAAGGCAATATTGTTTACTAGTATTTTTAATGGATTATATTTTTTGGATAAATAATTTGTTTTTAAAAAGAAAATATTTATTTTTTTTCACAAAAATTTTAACCAACACAAAATTTTTTATAATATATAATTGGAAACACAAATTATTGTAGATATATATTTGAATATATATGGAGTTAATAATAATTTCAAATTAATTAAAACAAAGAGGAACATCAATAAGAAACTCAAAACAAGTTCAAAGTTTATTTATAACAAAAACACAAAGAAAAAAAGAAGTCCAATTGAGTTTAAAAGTTACTTTTTATTTTTGGAAAAACCACAAAACATAAAAATTTACCAAAAACGCAAGGTATTTTTTTTTTTAATTATTTTCTCTCAAATTGTTTGTTTGTAAAAGCCTAGAAGATCTTATTTGTTTTGTTCTCATTTCGCTGAGAAGAGATATTTTTTGAGGCAACTTGGGGTTTATTTTGGCAAAAGCAGCAGAACACAATCAAGGCTTAAAAAATACAATACATATATGAATCAAATGCAACTACATAGATATTTATATATGGTAAATACATACTATTATAAGGGGTGGTTGGGGGAAAATGAAATTATTTTTCTAAAAGCATAAATAAGCTAGGAAATTTAAAAACTTTTATTGCAGCTTAGGTTTTTAAAAATCCATTTTAAATATGTCGTTTATATATTGGGAAAATATATTTTTTCAATTTAACATTTTTTTATTTTAAGTTGCCATCAAAAAATATCATTACGATTGTTATTGGAATGATAAGATAAAAAAAGTTATGCTTGATAATAAGAATAATTATTAATATACAGACAAGGACAAAATTCTTAGGCTTTAAAGAAAGTTTGAAAAAACGTTATGTAAATAAAATGAAAGCTTTTTTGTTTTTGTTTTTTTTTGGATCGTAATTTGATTTTTGTTATGATTCATAAGTAATCATCATTAGCATTAGAAAGCTTAAAAGTAAATTGATTTTTTGTTTTGTTTTAGAAAAAAATTGTAGCAAAATTTGAATTTAATAAAAAACTATACTAAAGAAATAATAAATAAAATTAAATATATTTTTTATTAACAAGAAGACACTGTGATATTTATAGAAATATTTTTTTTCTAATATTTTTTATACTTCGATAGAGATGTAGTTTAAGGACTCCAGAAGTTAAAAGCCTGTTTTGAATTAATTTTTTAATTACTATCAGAGATCATACTAGTTTTTTTATTTTAAAAAAAATATATTTAAGAAGAGATTGAATCTTGAATTTCCAGGCACATTTATGAGGATTATCATTATCAGGACTCAATATTTTGAAGGATTTTCAGAGATATCAGAACGAACGTGTTGATATTTTCCAGATTAGAACTATCGAGTTATATTAATTTGTTATGATTTAATTTTATAATACTCATTAATATTTAACATGTGTTTTCTTTTCGTATATCTATTGTTTCTCGTTTAAAAAATATTTCCCAATAATTATAATGAATATAAGAATCAATCAATTTCCCAAACCATCACAGTGACTTCTTTTTTATTTCAATTTCATATAAATATTTTTAAAATCAACAAATAAAAAACATACTGTTATAGAGCAATATAATATATATATATATATATATATATATTTAATATTGTATACCAATATTATATTGCCCTTTCAAAAAAACACATCGAATGCTACAAAACATACACACACATACAAACATATGCAAAATTAAAATAATTGAAAGCCATCAAACACACACAATAATAAGAACATTAAAAAAATTGGCTTCCAAATTTGTATTACCAGACAATCCACCAACGTCCATTTTCTTCAGATTCTTAGCCTCCAAGATGACGACAGTTAGCTTGCCGGCCGTCGGTACATAACGCAGTGAGAAGCAAATGTCACCAAGCTTTTCCTATAATTTGTATAATTTAATTTTTTGTTTGTGGAAAAAAGAAAAGAGAAGATATTAAAAATAGAATTAGCAAGATTATACTTCATATATTTGATTGTATGTCATTGTGTCAAACATAAAACAATAATTTTTTTATAAACAAAAAATAAACATAGACATATACAACATTATTGTAATTTGATGTTACTACACAAGACTTGTTTTGTTGTTGTTATTGTTATTTCTGTTGCTTTGCTTTGTTGTTTTGCCATTGACAAACATTTATTGTATATTCTTGTAGAGTTATTATTTTTTCTGTTGTTGGTAGATGGCGTAAAAATTGGACACATGTCTAGTCGATAGTTCAAAAGTACTTATATATTTGAAAGCATGTCGTATTGATCGATATTAAATCTGTTTGATAAATACATGTTTACAAACAATTTAAATGCTGTGTTCTTACAAATGCTGGTCAGTGTGGTTATAAAACGAAAGACTTAAGACACGAACTTGATTTTCTCTTATCAGAGAGGACAAAGCTGCTTTTATATTTAAGAAATACACCTGAACTCAAATATCAATTCCTGAACATGATTAAGGTGACTTATATGCTGTGGAATTGTCATTTAAGAGTGAGTGGATTTAGCAGTCAAAAAGTGTTCCAGCTCTTCTAAGAGTGAGATGTTTATAACAAACGGATTTAATATCGTTAACTAATAATTCCAAAAACGTAAGCTGTTGCATTTTTTGTTTGTTTAGATAACACCAATAACAATTAGAATGGGGTAGTTTACGATACAAATACGTAGTTTTATATACTTCTTAATATAATTATTTGTATTAGAACACAAACAACATAACCATTACCAGTTATAATGAATAATAAATAATTTATGTAAAACAATAAAATTTCAAAAGGGTGATTCGTGTTGCCCTACACCACTATAAATTACACATATTTAAAATAGATTTTCAAAATATTTTAACGACTTTTTTATTTATTTTTCCTAGATATTAATATTGAAAATATAGATAACAAGAAGAAAAACAAGAAGAAGAAGACAATACTCTATATGTAACACTTTAGTGATTCCAAAAACCCATAATATTTCGTATTTTCCAAAAAATATAAGCAAGTTTTTCTATTATACGCCGGATACTTTTCTATTGACCTATTACCTTTTCAAATTACTTTTTACGTTGTCTGAAACCATTTTTGGAATATATTATATGCTGTCTTCAATTTAAAGTATTTTTTATGAGAATAATACGACTCCAAGTCTTGCTCATTAGAAACAAAATTATATATTTAATATTTTTTCTACTTTCATCATTAGTTAAAATAGTGAGCTGATATGTGCCGCGAGTTCACCCATAAGAATTAAAAAAATGGGTTGAGGCGTTGGGTTAGTTGCCACTCTAAAAACCCCTCCTACTTTGAAAAAGCAACGGACCACTACCTTATATCAGGCAAAGTCGCACCCGCCTTAATGTAGCGGCAAAGGTCCGAATTAATGTAAAAAGGGAACTCGACGTCAGAAAACTGCAAACACAATCGGTAGCAGAAGTCTACATCGCTCAATTTACCCACTTGCTAGTCGAAAGCACTCCTTGTCCGCTAATAGTACAGACGCACAATGGCAAAGATTTCCTCACTTCCTACAAACTGCAGCAAAGCCAACAAAGACCACCATCAAGAAACCCATGGTACGATCAGGAGTGCCGTAATGCTATTGAGGTGAAAAAATCAGCGTTTAGGGCTTCCCTGCAAATAGTAGCAACACGCAATGCGAGAGAGAATTATCGGGAGAAAAGCAAAGAGGAAAAACGTGTTTTCAGGAAAAAGAAGAAATAACAAGAAAAGTGAGCTAATCGAATGTACAGGACTCAGAATGAAGTCCGTAATTGTTACCAATTTGTAACTCAATGAGGACTTTTTTATTAATAAATTGAATTGAAATTAAAACACCAAACCGGTCACATCCTCATGTAGGGATGAAAAAGGAAACCTGGTCACATTCAGACAGGATGTTGCATATCTGGAAGGAGAATTTTGAAAAACTTCTGGTATTAAATAGTGGCGGTGAAGAAGATGAGGTCAGAATAACAATCAATTGGCTGAAGAATAATAAAGCAAAAGATGCCGATGGGTTACCAGCCGAACTATTCAAGACTGGTAGTCAGATGCAAGTCAGGAGCATGCCCAAGCTGATTATTAAAATTTTGCTTGAGGAATATGTGTCCAATGATTGGAACCTCAGCAACCTGTGTCCCGAGGAGACAAGATAATATGTGCCAACTATAGAGGAATAAGTCTCCTTCCCATCACATATAAAATGTTATACAGGGTGCTGTGACATTATTGGGCAATACCAATGCTGCTTCTGACAGATTTTCGCTATGCGTCAAATACTGGAATAGACCCATGAAAAACGTATCGACACATTCCACCTATTCGTCGACTATAAAGATGCAAATGTGAACACAATTGGCATGTTCTACACCAAGCAGGAAGGAATTGGTATCAACGCGCTCGGAACAACTACAGCTTCGAGGTAGTCAAAGATTTTATATACCTTGGTACCGCCATAAATAAAGCGGATATTATTCATCATGCTCTATCAAATTGGGAAAACTGCACAAGATCAACGCGACTGGAAATCTTTTTTAAGTTCGACTCATCAATTATCATTACTCATTTTACATTGTGGTGTAGGGTATTACAGTATAGACTATGCCGACTATAACCTTTGTCATTTGTCTAATTTATTTTTGTTTTCATTTATATTATTTATTATTCACTACACTCGTCGGTCATACAAACATTGATCAGCAATTACAAATACTAATAAAAAACACAAAATACAACAAAAAGAAAAAAAAAAAAACAAATAACATGAAATCCACAAATGAAATAAAAATGAAACATTAATATTAAAAAATCGACACATCAATAAAATTTAGACGTTAATTAAATAACAAGAAGACTGAGAGCTTCGATTACACAGAAATTGTATTTGCTTTTTAAGGATACGGAGAGAGAACTAAACGCTTAAACGCAACATAGAAGGCAACCAAAAATCGAAAGGAAATAAAACAGATAGAAGAAGAGAAACAGAAAATAAAGTTTAGAATATATTTGTAGACTGTGTGCTTGTTTTGTTGTTTGTTTATTTGTTGTTGTAGTAGTAGTTGTTGCTGTTATTATTGTTCTTGTTAGTACACACTCTGCTGTCGTCTAGAAAAATTATTACAAAACTTACAAAGTTTATTTTAAAAGCATATTCTGTCTTTTGTTTTGCTTCTAAAAGAACGATTTGTTTTTTTGTTTTGTTTTTCACCCAGCTCAAAATTTGATTTAATTTCAGTTTGCTTTGAAAGACAATATTGAATATTATATTTATTACACTGAACAAAATTCAAAAATACGGAGTACAAGAAGTTTGGTTTCATTTGATATGAATTATTTTTGCAATTAATGACATATAAGAAATGAGTTTTTAACAAATATATATTTTCTCTCAGTTAATTTCTAAGTATATTAAATGGTAAAATAATAATAATATAGAAGTGGCTATATAAAAAATCAGTAATTATGGATACAAAATTATAATGATTTAAGTGGTAGTTATTATTTTATTATACAAAAGGATTAAAAATTGTTTCAAGCTCTAAATAGAAATTTGATCATTTTTAAAAGGCATACCATAAATATTTATATGTATTTGAAAGTTTATGAAAAATGTATTAAAATATATTTTTATTTAATATCGAAAAAGCAAAAATATTGAAAACAAAATTGAGAAGAGAACTGAATGGATAATTATAAAATATATATTAGATAGTAGGACGTATGCCTAAATATCTTTATGTTACATATATCTTTCTGCCCGTCCATGATATACATTTGGAAATTTATATACTATATCGGAAATTGGTTAAAATTACTATTTCGCTCAATATAGGTAATTTTAAAGATTTTGAAATTAAAGGATTAAAAAGATACAGTCTTTCGTGATCGTAGAATTATAGAAATGTCAGTGTGTGTCTATTGGCCGATCACAAAGATTAGATGCGATAGTTAGTACCAATATCCGATATCACAATATTACTCTGTGGAACAAAATTAAACAACTGGTTTACCACGGAATGGGGAAGGTAACATTTTAACTTTCAAAACCTCGGTACACGTGTATTGCCATTGAACTTCCTCACTTTCAAAATCGAACGTTAGTTTGAATTTCTAGGTCTTCAGAATAAGACTTTAGAATGCCAAGAAGTGGTGAGCCTTTCGTATATAGGGACATGGGGACAATGCATATCGTGTGAAGATTCAAAGGGAATTCAATGTAGAGAAATTGTCCGAAACGTCTTCTATGGACACAGCACTTACGAATGGTCGCATGTGGAAAACCTTTGAATGGTTTTCTATGTATAGAGATTTCTTAATGACCTCATAACCATCTTTTACGTATTCAAGACATCTGAAACCTCAAAAGGTATTTTATGTAAGGAGGAAATCCAGGCGATGTTTTGTTTATGGAACACCACTGAAGGGTGGGGATGATAGATAGCAAGGAACGGCACTGATTGGCTTTAACATGGCAAAGCCTATGCGTAACTTGGTCCCTCTTTCACGCGGGTGACGAAAGTAGCTACCCCTAGAGACAAGTAGCAACTTTCATCACCCGTTGAAGTAGTGAGCTGATATGTGAGTTGACCCATAAGAACTATATAAATTGGGCTGAGTTGTTGGGTTTGTTAGCCACACTCGGAAAACCCTCCTATTATGAAAAAGCAACGAAAAAGAAAACCAAACATCCCTAATGTTGACGACGCCCGCAAACATATAAATCACCACGATCTGCGAATCTGCACTTGGAATGTGTGCACGTTGAACAGAACAGGCGCTGTTTTCGTACTCAAGAAGTACAAAGCCGTATTATTGCCTTACAGTGCGATGGAAGGGGACTGGAAAAAAACCTCGTTTTCAGATTCAATCCAGTGGATGAACGAATTTT